TCATGAATAATTAATCACGAATCGGCTTTATAATAAAGTCAAATCTTCAATTGAAGTTACTAATTGAAGTATCTGAATGTAATAATAGTGTAATGATATTAAATACATCGCTATTCGAACGTAACGCGTTAACGTAAACACATCGTACTGTAATTTCACGCTCCACCGCGCGTTATTATCGCTCGATTATCGATCTTATGCTGTTAAGTACAGTTCATTTCTACAAGACCGACGTGATTCACGTGATTTGAACAAAAGAATATGTTCAGTAGCAAATTCTACACTTTAAACAAATTATATCGGTGCTCCTTAATCTGTAATTTGATGACAACACGAGAATGATGAAAGTGTAATGAAGAAGCTTAATAGCGAATTCGTCACGTGCATTATACTAGATTCATTTATACTGCTATATACGTGAAATTAGCAAAGTTATGAAAGCATTTATAAATATTTTTAACGATTAAATATAATTCTAATGATATTGTTATTTTATTTAACAGATATCTAAATTGTTTTATTGTTATTTGATTATATATTATGCCACTGCATTTAGATATTTTATATTAGCAGCCTTTAATGTGCACTATAATAAAAAGGTGTAGTGCGAGTGATTGAATTTATTGTAAGAACCGACCTAGAAAGGAGATGTTGGAAAGGAAACAATTTCTGTGAAAAAGGTGTAAAACATAATAAAGGAAATAATAATTTTATCATATCCAGGAGATCAAAATATAAAAAAAAAAATATTATTTCTTTTTTACATTCCTTTTCAAGCAGAAACCAACCTCTTTTTTTAACATCATCTCTTTTGTAGGTCTATAAATAATATATATAAATTACCTATTTGTCATATTATTATAGGATGGAGAGGAAAGGATCATAAAACGCTTTCACGTTTTGACCAAGTATCCCTCGACCGGGATGATATCATGATCACGAAAGAGACAATGTCCGAATAACGGCCTCGAATCGGAGTTGTCCGATTTTTGAACGAGGCCGGCATCAACCTTTCGAAAGTGTTTTTTCTTCTCTCTGCTGCCTCTGCTTGCCAGCCTTCTCTCTTCCTCGTTCGGGTAGGAAAAAAAAGAAGCGATGTTCCCGTGAAAGTTGCCTTCTGGCTACTACGGAGTGCCGTCATGCCTTCCCGGTGATCTTCCCTAACTTATCCCCCCGACCTCTTCGCTCTGCTCAACTTCTTATCCTGTTTTCCTCGCAAGCATCTTCAATCCTATTTGACGTACAAAATTTCTTCATCAAAATTATATGAACATTTTTCATCATATTCTTAAAACGATTCTTTAGAATCCGGTATTTAAATATTCTGTTTCTGATAAACTTGCCAGCGTATTAAAAATCAGTAGAGCCACGATATTAATATCTACAAAAGTTACAAATTCTTTTTTAATAAGGAGAGGACACAGTGAATTTCATAAATTTTAAGCTCCATCAATATGATGAATCTACATCAAATATAAATTATATCGTGCTTGAATGCGTTTTATTGAATAAACTTTAAAGATATTTTTTTATTTATGTAAAAAGATCCCGCACTAATTATATGGAAAATTGGATTCCGATGAAATGAATTAGTTTCCACATATAATGTCGCTTATAAATGTGGCGAATAAAAGATATCATAGACAATAGAAAGCTTAATAACGAATAATTTTTAAGCTATAAGGTATCAAAGATGCTCTATGCATGAGCTATAAATTTTATACACCATTTGATGCACCATATATATAACTCAAAAAATATTTATTATTGTACCAGTGATACCTTTTGTTCGCTACATTATAAGCTACATTATATGTGAAAACTAACTCATTTTATTATAGTTCAATTTTCTATATACGAGAGAGTAGTTAATAATCAGCGAGGAATTATTTCATATATTATTTACAATAAAATACTCTGTTTATTATACTCTGTTCAACAAAACGTTATAGATGATCAGAACACGGCATAATTTATTTTCGATATACATTCGTCATACTAAAGGAGATCAAAATTCGTGAAGAGTCCACTGTGTTCTCTCTTTGTAAGCTTTTGGAGATTCTGCTTCGATTTTTATTCAGACACGGCACAACGCGGAAAAACAAAGCAACTAGAACTCACGACCTCGCGCATATAAGGCGCTTGACTTATTCATTTCGTGAATTCAAAGCGATTTGAATCGTCCTGTTCTCATTGTTACTCGCGTCACGTGCGCGTGAGAGCCGTAAAGAAGAGAGAGAGAGAGAGAGAGAGAGAGAGAGAGAAAGAGAGAGGGCACATATACGGACTGTTGCACGACATGCTAGTGAGCTTCCCTTTCTTCCTTTTCATTCGTTTTCTCGGCTTCTCTCCTGTTAAACTCTCGTGTCAATGAGCAAGAGGAGCCTCGCTTTCGCTCATCGTCTCATCTTTCCCCCCGGGCAATTTCGAGCAGCAACCAACTGTTCGGCGCTGTTGATGCGTGCGACGTATATACGCTTTTCATCACACGCGTCTGTCGCTCGGTAAACGATAGCTAAGATGCATTTTCTCTCCTTTCGACCATTATGGCATTATCTCTTAATCCTTTGTGAAACGCCGAGACATCCAACTCTCTTCCCACCTCCCTTCTCTGTGATTTGCATTTCCTTCTTTTTCAAAGACTATAGATTGTAAATAAAACTGAAGTGATGCAAAATATTTTCTTCAATAAAAAAATTGGTATTACTTCGATTTTCGCTTACTCTATTGTAAATATTAGGTGTTGTAACATATGTACATAAGTCTTTGACGAGTAGCGTTTACAAAATTTAGGCAAATATAAAGAGTAATATTATACAATTTGCTAAGTCATCAACTTCATACATTACCGGTTACGTTAAGTTGGATCGCCACGTAACGCCCAATTTAATTCCATCATATGAAAGATAGAAAGAATATTATTTACAACATATATATATCTATAGATGCCTTTTCAAATTAATTTTTTTAAAGATAACTTGAGAATAAGACAAGGATAAAATATTTTCTAAAAAATTATAAAGTCGGCTTTTGTTTCGATATACATCGTCAGTACTGAAAATTTATAATACTTGTAACTTGGACTAGATTTTCAAAAATCTATAATTTATTCATTTATTATGTATAATATTATAGATTTTCAGTATTTATAGTATATGTATATCGGAACTTGATCAATATAATCCAATAAATAATACGCAAGTCCAAAAAAAAATATATGACGTCTTTGAGACGTTTTATGGCTGCATTTTAAACATATTGTTCTCTGGAAATTTACATAAAGTTATAATCTGAAAGATGTCTGGAAAATGACATTATACAAAATGTCTTTAAAACGTCAAATCATCATAGGAAATGTCTGAAAAACAGCCACCAAAAATATTTAGAAATGTCTTGCAAAAGTATTTGGGCGTGCCTTAATGTTTACTGGGTAAATTTCTTCATTCACGACCGAATTAATCAAATGCCTTCGTTTGCAAACAGATTAATTAATTTCGCGGGAAATTATATGCCGCCTTAATAATTGAGTTCTACTAATTGTCTCGCACCTATAAATACCTGATAGAAACACATGTGCAAATTTCGCGCGTGTCCTATGCATTTCCCATGCGCATTGACGCCTATAAGAAACGCACAAGCATTATTCGTCTAGTCATCGTGGGAAATCCTCCTGCGCTACTTTGTGGATTCCATCGGATCTCATCGTCGAGTAAGTCGCGCGGCTTTTTCGCCAAGTGTTCTACGAGAGGGAAAGAGGGAGAGAGAGAAAGAGAGAGAGAGAGAGAAAAAAAGAGAAAAAGAGAGACAAATGTAAGGGAAACGGTTGAACGAAATCTGGCGACGAGCGTCGTTCTCGTCTCTTGATTAGCGGTTGTTTAGGAGTAGTGAAAGTTTCTCCGCTCGCGAGAGATGCGCTGCCTTTTTGGAAAGAGATAAACGCGGCTTCCTCCTGTCTTCTCGCGCCTCCCCCTATCTACCTGCGTTCCCTTCTCTCTTTTTCGTGGCGAGAATTGACGAGAGAATTGTTGTCGCTGTCGCGCAATACTCGGCGCGTTCTCATGCGGAAACGCACTGAGAAAGGAAATCGTCGCTACGGGGAATTAACCCCGTGGCCCACCTGTCCGACGAAACCGGGACCAAGCTGGTATCCCCCCTTTCTCCCTTTTTCTCCAAGCGTTCTGTAAAATGTCCGTTGATATTCTCGTACGTAAAATACGTCAATTACTCGTGCGATCGTAAAGCGACGCGTAGCTCGAGTATAACTGGGATTAAAATGCCGCGTTGACACGCGGCTGATTGACGTGAGATTAATCGTCCGTAAAAATGGTGTTGCGAATTTCTAGAAACAGAAAAAGAATCACGTACAAACGCACGATTATTTTTTCAAGCCGCGTAAATTTTACGTCTTCATTCCCGTTTAAAAAACTAGCGTAGAATTTAACTTTAGAATATTTTGAAAGAAGTATAATTTAATTTTTATATAGGTATTGTATAATAAATAATTGTTCTGGTTCTGTGAGAATTAAAAAAAGTTTAAACTGAGATTAGTTAATTTACATTGATAAATATTATTATTAATGTAGGTTAAATTTAATTTCGGCTCAAAATTTACTCTTTACCCTTTTTTGATTCTTACAACTAGAACTTTTGATAGAACTAATGTGGGGCAGTAGGCAAATTTGAATGTGAAAATTCCACGGAGCATATTATATTATATATATGATATATCGAATTCCAGAATCAATTCGAATTGGAAAGGTATACAATAAGTTGACAAGCGTAGACTTAGTTTTATGTAAAAATACATAAAAAAGCTTTATTTCGCCACCGTTTTCTTGCAAAAAATAAGTATAAAAAACATCTCTCCTTCGCTCTAGTCGTCGTAATCATCATCATCATCATCACCATCATCATCATCATCATCATCGTCATCATCGTCGTCATCATCATTATTATCATCATCATCATCATCATCGTTATCGTCGTCATCATTATCTTGGTAGTCGTCGTTATGATCGATATCATCATTGTTCTTCTCATCATCGTCTTCATCATCATCGTCGTCGTCGTCGTTATCGTATTCAACATCGTCATCATCATCGCCGTCTTCAACTTTGTCATCGTTGTCGTCTTCTCTCGGCGATCGCGCATATAACCCAGCGATACGTCAATACGGCAAGTATCATCGTCGCTGATTATGTTAGAGGTATGTGAGCGGTGTGTGCGTGTGTGTTGGTGAACGGGAGGGTAGGACGGAGGGGCCGCGACGGGGGTAGCGGTGAATTGACTAGTATGGCCCGGATCCACCGGGTGCCCCGTAACTCGTGCTGGGTCCACTTGGTCCGGTGCCACCGATACCGATGCCGCCAATTCCACCGGTGCCGCCAATTCCACCGTGACCGCCAATTCCACCGTGACCGCCAATGCCGATGCCACCACCACCACCACCACCACCCGTAACTTCTTTCTGCAATGTGAAGAAAAAAGAAAAGATTAAATAATTAGATCGGTTTAGAATTTTCGCTTCTTTCCTTATATTATGCTCAAGTTTTTTTTTTTCCATTACCTGAGTCTTGTATTTGATAAAGTAGACTTCCGGTTTGCTGGGCTGAGTGGGTGTGATGGTGGGCAGGCTGATCTCGGGCGCTTCCTCGGGTTTCTTGACCAAGACGTAAATGAGCGTTTTCTGCTCGTCTTGCTGTATCGCCGGGATCACCGGGGCGGTCGGGGTTGGTGGAGTAGGTGCCTTGATGAAGATGATCTTATAGTGCTTTTGTGGCGGATTATAAGCTCCAGAAAGCGCAACCCTTCTTTCCTCGGGAGCCTCTGGGGGTGGTACGTGAACGTAGATGTGTTTTTGAATGAGCGCTCCACCGCCGCCGCCTCCGCCGAATACACCAGAGATACCTCCTCCAGCGCCGACGCTGCCGGCAAGGCTAACTCCGCCGCCACCACCTCTGCCGAATGCTTGAGCACCGCTCACGCCGAGGATACCTTCGTCAGCGCTGATGCCACCGCCGAGACCTGCACCACCAGCACCACCAAAAGCCCCAGAAGGCTGACCAAAGATACCACCAATACCACCACCAGCACCAACACCACCGCCGATGCTTGGAGCGCCGTAGCTACTACTTGGCTGGCTGTAGGAGTATCCAGCTTCCGGCCGCGCCATCGCCGTCGCGACGAGCGCCAGGATCTACAATTGCGATTCAATTTTACTTTTTTGCCGTTTAAACATTGAAACTGAAATTTCGGCTGTTTTATCATTTTCTTTCATAAATATTTTAATATGTTTATATATAGAATAAAAAAGAAACATGCCCACAACTGGATGTGCAAAATTTATTATGATTTTAGATGCTTTTTTTTACAATATTATAATTGAATCGTATATTTAAAGATTGTAATTAAATTATAATATTATCTTTTTAAAAATATTTTAAATCAATAATATAAACAAATAAGATTTTGTGTAAATATTCGGACATACATAGGTATAATACATGCCCGGTAATTATTATATTTATGATTTTACAATTATACTCAATTCCATTACTGTAAGATTAACTTTGATCTCGGTTTAATTTACTGTCTATTTCTAATTCTTTCTTTTTTAGAAATAGATAAACAATAAATTAAACCAAAGTTTTAATCAATTGGTGGAACAAGGCCATAACGTTTTAAATACTTTCGGTATATACTTCACTTTTTTTCTTTCATTGCAATTTAATATAATTATTATGCAAAAATTATGTGCTATTGTAAAATTATAATATAGCTCGTAAATAAATCAAGTTGAATCTGTTAAAGTCGAACTTTAAGTATTTCTTACACGGAAGAGATGTACACGTGCGAAAAAAATGCATTATTTATTTGTATACATTCACATAAACAGTTTCCACGCGGTTTTAATTAAAGAAGAATAAATATATCTTTCTTAAAGATAAAATATAAACTCTTTCGTCTAGTATATTTTTTAAGTGAGCAATGGTCCTCGGGTATTCTTTTATGTGTTCTTGTAATAAACGTGTCTAAAAAGCAAGCAGTGAACGTTTCCGGAAATGCAAGGCGGTGGATTTACGAGCACGGGACGTATCCCTTTCTTTCAGTCACCGACCGCGCTTAACGTTTCATGGTGCTAGTGTTACATAAGCTCGGGAGAGAGAATCCCGATATTTCTTTTCTTTCTATTTTTTTTTTCTCTCCATTTGTTTCCGCGCAAACGGAACTAAAAAAGTAGCACAATCACTGAACCGGTTCCTCGGGTTAGTCACTATCACGGAGTACATTGACACCGCACACAATACTCCCTGTGCACCCTCCCCTCTCTTTTACTTTCTCCCGCGTTCTCCCGCCTCCCGTCCTCGGATGAAATCTTCGATCCCGGTTTCGATCTCGATCTCGATCACGAATTCTCCTCATTTCTCTCGCACGGTCTCTTATCATCCTCCGAGAAAGCTCCCGTATACGCGAGAAGGGAGACAGAGAGGAGGACCCGAATAGAAAGACAGCGTCAGGAAGGAAGAAGAAGAAGGACCGTGAAGAGAGTGAGGAGAGGAGAGGAGAGAAGGAAACGAGAAATTGGGGAAATCGCCGTGGACGGGCTACTCACCATGAATGCCCTCATGGTTGCTGCTGTTCCTTGATTTGAGGACTGATGCTCTGCGGATGTCTTGGAGCCCCCTTTTATACAGGCCAGCATGGGGGCCCCACTCAATGCCTCGACCCATCACCTATGAGATGCGACGGAGCTATTACAAATCTCTCTCCCTCTTTCTCTCTTTCTCTTTCTTTCTCTCAATTCTTACCTCCTCTTGCGATATAGAGCCGTGTATGCGTTTGCTCAAATTTGTCTCTGTACTTTCATTAAAATTCATCTATTCAGATTGGCTGCGTCCACTCATGACACACACCTGTCACGTAGCCGGTAGCGTAGATTCAATGACGAACGAACGTGAGAAATGGACCATACATGTTACATCTCAAAGATGGCAAGAATTTATTTATAATTGCTTCGACATGATAACATAATAAGATGGTTATTTTACTGATAAAAAGGCCATTTAACGAGATGATTTTTATTATGGTTACTCGTTTATCCCAGATGTTAGTAATTTTGGTGGTTGTACAATATTCTTGTATAAATTTAGATCAAAAGTATTTTGCACATTATATATTATATTTATGTATATATATAGGCATTACAAATGAGACTTCATTTTTGACTGTAAAAAAATATACATTCATTGATTTTAACGCTTTAAGTGTCAAAAATTTTATAAAATTGTTAATGACAATTTTTTAACGATATCACATATAGCTCTTACATTACTTATTATAAGAATTTTACGAAGAAACACAATGTGCGTTTCTTGGATTATAAATGCAGGTATTATACCACCCGCAAATTATGCTGCGGTTTGCCATAAAAGTTTCAGTCTATTTCCTACAGCTGGCTGCAACTTCCTATATAAGTCGATGTCCGCCCACGAAAATACCGCTTTCTTTAATCCAAAATTTTCTCACGGCCAGATAAATTGACGTTAATTAATTATTATAAGTTCAGCTTGGAAATGCTAATACCGTTAAGAGATTTTTATTATTGCAGTTTTTTCTCATCCACGAAAAGAACGGTTTTGCTAAAGTATTAAAAAATTTAGTTAGATTCAGATCTAAAAATAATTTTATAGACTATCAAAATAATTTTGTGTGGACTAGTAGGGTATTTGAGCTATGGTTGCTAGAATGTAAAAACGTTTCACAGCTTGAATATCCTACATAATTATTTTCAGATCTGTATTTATTTAAATTTTTTAATATTTCAGCAAAATCGTTCTTTCCATGCGAACGTATAATATACGCATTCTGTAAACAGATGATAAGTATACATTATAATAGTATAATAACGCAGCAATACGAAACACGTATAATGCGCGAGCTCTTGCGCAGGGTAGTTAAATCACACTTAATGCAGCCACGCGTTTCGGGAAATGTGAGTGAGAGCTGAGGGCAGGCTGAACCGCGAGAACCTTTACTTTGTACGACTTGAAATACGGATTTCAGTAGAGCGATGACGATAACTGATATTATACGCCAGCCTATTCAAATCCGTGAGAAAAATTGTAATTGAGTTTTATGGCTGCGCGTAGACTCATTATCGTGCGTGTGCGTTTAAAAAGCGTGATTTTCGGCGCGCCTTGTAGAAAGCGTAACTGGCATGTCACGAACATCTAACAGCTGCTTGTTGGAATCCATAAAACGTTCAACTGTACAAATTTTGTTCGATTATATTGTATTACGTTATATTGATGTGCCACTCGAAAGATTTATGCAATTCTAATTTGTACCATGATGTATGAAAATTCCAAGGTTTGATGTGTGACTCTAATTCTATTTCATAAAGATCTTTTTTAAAAATGCTCTACTATTCGACCAAAATAATAATCTTTTCTTGTGAAAAGGAATTTAAAACGATAAACGTGAATCTGTTTTTTTTTTAAATTTTATTTATATAATCGGTTTCTATAAGAGAGAGAGAAAGAGCACTGTGCTTCAATTTTATACAGATATTTAGACGTAATAATGGAACAAATATATCTATGAAATTTTTAATAATGTTTTGTGAGATGTGACCTATATATCTAAATTTTTGAACGACACTTTTCTCTATTACATGTAGAAATCTGCATAAACGTTTATCTCATTTTTTTACGTGAGATGCGGACGTTTTGCGATTGACTAAGTACTTAATTCGCGGTAACCGAATGCTTTCCGCCACTGGTGGTTGAAACAATGGAATTGGCTGCTTCCGCGATCTGGCGAGGTCGAGAAACGGGCAGGAAGAGAAAATAACTTAAAAATTTCGATTGCAACTTCCTCGGAAATACCTCACGTTTATGCATACTACATAAGAGACGAGAAAGGGAAAAGAAAAAAAGGGAACGAGACACAAAGTGTGTATGTGTGTGTGTGTGTGTGTGTGAGAGAGAGAGAGAGAGCTCAGTAAATCGAAACTCGTTTTTCAAATATTATCATATCATTGTTTATCACAAATGTAGAAAATTATGAAAGATATAATTCTACAAACACGTGTCGACTTCCACTGCAGTGATACAAGATGCTTTTTCCAGAAAAGTAGATCACGAGCGAAACGAGTTCCCCAATTCGGACGCGTGACCATCGGTCGACGAAAAGTTAGCCTTGCTGATGATGGTATCCTCTCACGTTCGAGGTTCATCTTTCCTTTCCCCTTCTTAACATGTATAGATACGAACGAAGAGGAGCTATGGCTTCAATGAACGGATTCAAGAATGACATAATAATGAAACTGATACAGGCAGATTTTCTGTATAGATTCTGCTCATCTTCTTGCGGCCTCGTCACGTATGTAAATGTTGTATCATTCGGCTCCTACAATTTTAATGGCTATATAAATCAAATAAAAATAGATTAATAATAATCGAGGAATTAATTTTGATTGTTGTGAAAATTTACAATTTTATCTTGTTTGAAACGATTAATAATCGTTGAAAATTAATAATGATTTACGATTAATAATTGTTAAAAAAAATTAATTCCGTTTACAGTTTGCAAAATATAATTAAATTAACTGAGAGAGAAAGAGAGAGAAGCAGAAGTAAAACATCGATTTAAAATAATGACCAAGTGAAAGAGATTTCGGTCGCAAAAGTCGCATTCGCTATATGAATTTCTCTTTCTCAGAGAATATTTCCTTTTTACATATAATCAGAATGACAAATTGTAGTAAAAGTAGATATTTCTTTTATCTGATAGATCTTCGATGGAGAATCTAGAGCTCGTGGCAGGTGACAAGTCGCAAAATTACCGTCGGCCTTCATTGCGAAACTGAAAGTCTTCTTTGGCCGCAGAGAAAGAGAAAGAGAGAAAGAAAGGACCTCGCATTTGACCCGAATATTCGATTCAACGCGGCTTCTCGTTTTCTTCTTCGTTTCCCGGTCGAGGAGGAATTAAACTTTCCCGATCAAGGAAGCCGGTGTCAGGAATCTCCTTCCTTTGTGTGTATCGTGTTCTCCTCCTTCTCACTGTCTGAACGAATTCAACGGATCTAGATCTTCATCGATCACTCGGAATTCTCTGATCGGCAGCAGCCATTGAGGCCGAGGACGAGCACACGAGAGAGAGTCGGCAATACGTACTTATCGTATCCACGAGCCCCCTTGAAGTGAAGAACCGTATATAGTCAAAGCGAATTGTTTATACAGTCTGTCATTGTTAAATATATGTTTTTTTTTCACTACACCGTCGAAAAATTTGTGTTAAATTTAACATTTTTCACATGTCATGTCCCAAACTGTCAACTCAAATTTATGTTAATTTAGCACAAGATGATATGCTAGAGAGAAGGTGGCATAAATATTATTTAAAATAATAAAGTGACATAGTTATGCTTTTATTATACAGCAATAAGCAATATTTTCACAGTTTGTAAACAAAGAAAGAGTAGCTTATTTTTTTGTAGTAAAATTAATATTTACGATATGTTAAATTAACACATGTATTATTCGTTTATCTTAGAATTTATTTAATTTTTTTTGCTCCGGATTCCGATATTGTCTCAGAAAAATCAAATTTTTTTATTAAATGCGACTTTAAAAAGTATTAAATTGTGAACTCTGCAATTTTTAATCTTGTGCAATGTGTAGAGATATATAAATATTACAGAAAAAATGCGATTTGTAATCCTGTAAGATAAAATCCTGCTTTTATGCTTTCCAGTACACAGATTACCGCAAGCACGTACAAAAATTTATATCATGACGAAGAAATATCATTGGCCAGCGGATGTCTTAACTTTTTCCGTGAAACGTCCCACTGTGTAATGTAAACGTAACGTAATTTGCGTCATGTACATTACGGGCAGATTAGACGTCACGCTCGTCGCGAATGTGGAATACCGTGAATAGTGCCTCCTTTTCCGCGACCGTTGTGCAATACGTGTGTATGTATGTAACGCAACTTTGTGTTAGCTGTTATGCGTAAGTATCTTAGAATATAATGATAATGATAGGATACGTCCTCGTAAATTTTACGCTCCCTCGAGGCAAAACGCTAAACCGACGGGTCGCCTACGAGGCAGTGAAATCCTTCAAGATTCCCCGAGATCGTGGCGAATAGCGTGTCCCGCGTAGAAGAGTCGACTTTGCGTAACAGATCTGCTTCGAATATAAATACCGTACATAATAGACCGTCGTAGTAGGAACCAATAGTTTCCTTGTTGAGAACGCCGGACAATCGACGGGGGGAGAATTTTTTTTCCACCCTCTCCTCTCCTCTCACGTTGCGTCCAAAGAGTATGGGATATAAGTTAAGGTTGCGCAATATTTATTGCGAGACGTAATCGAGCGAAAAGCTGCAAGAAATCGTTCGTAAGAGGGACTCGTTAGATTAGAAGGTAAAACGAAATAGGAACTCGCTCGATCTGCGGCCGCAATACCGTGGGTTGTATAGCGTCTTCGTTCCCGCGGCCGAAGGTGCGGCGTGAGCTGACCCGTTAACGCGAAATATATAGCGAGTAGGATGCCACTTGGCATGACACTCGGCAAATGAGTTACATGCAAATAACGTTTCGTGAGCGATTGAATTCGTGACGAAATATTCCGACACACTGAACATCCCTTTAAACC